AGAAAAAGACTACAATATGATATATATGCAAGTACATATATAGTATATATTAGTAATTCAAGATTGAATTATTTAAAAAGCAACGAAGATCCAGCTCCGACCGTAATAGTTAAATTTCTAGTATTCATAGTCAATTCTTACATTTAAGACTATCTTAAGTACAATCTTAAAACGTCGTAAGTCAATCCAAGGACTGTATTAACATCTTAAGACATTATATTTAAGACAATTTTAAAATAAAAACGGACTATGAATATCGTTCGATGTTTAGCGTTTCACAATTGGTAGCTTCTTTCTTATGAACAGTCTATAGACAGAAAGGCACTGTCCAACTGCACACACCGTGTTATCCCTTTCACAATGCGCTTAGTCTTAGCGCCAGACACTACCGTGTCTCCTGATATAAACAAAGCGCGCAGCGGTTCTTTGCGCGCCCTAGACATGAAGCAACACAGCGTTAACTTAAATCTCAAAAATCAAGTTATCGATTTCGGTTATCTTTATAGTTTTCTTGTGAAAAACAATTAGATCAATATTATCTTCATAATTTTTTTACTTAAGGCTCCTGACTAGTCGCGGCGGGCATATTGGAATTATGACGTCAGAAACGAGGAATGACACGTTAATTTATGTTGCATGCCGTTTTTAAATAAAGACAATTTGGATGAAACGAAATAAAGAGATCACTTTAAAACATTTTTAAAAATCGGTAAAAACTGTCCTTTCCTCCTTTGACAGTCGATAAAAGGCACGTAAAATAAGCCTATATTCGGGTAGAAATACACGGTCTGACAGCTGATGAAACGAGTAAAATATACGCTTTTACACATAAAATTCTACTATAACTTTAGTTTTCATCGATAATTATAATTTTGATAAGTACGAGATAAGTCAAATTTTTACAATTAAGCAAATAATAAAATGGCATACAACATAAATTTCGTCGTCAAAACGTCACTTTCCACTCCTAGCCATTTATCGTGGTGCGACGCTGTAACACACATCTAAGTACGAGCCCATATACGTGTTCTCGCCGTCGGCACGTCGAGAGTGAACGAGACAGCGAGCTCTTTTTCACACTAGTCGCTTGTCAAGCGACCGAAAATGCCTTCTCGGCAATCTCGGCCGCTCGGCGGCCCACGGTATCAATAAGGGACGAGGATCACTCTAAATGACGTATAAGTTTTAATAAATTGTAGTAACAGTGTACACCTTCCATTAATCCAGAAAAGTATAATGTTAAAACGCAACAGTTTATGAGATATTTAATTGTTTACGATTTTCCATGCACGTTATATACCTCCTTCATAAACTCGAATAGCAAGAATAGTTCAACAGAAGTAGAATTTTACCGGAAAAAAATTATAAACCAGCATTTCTTTTCACGAAAATCTTCGAAAAGCCATAAAAAAGAAATGCGTATGTTTGAGAATCGAGACTTGTGAAGAAAATATGCGAAAAAAAATCGAATAGTTGCAAAAAGCATGTTTTTCGCTTATAAAACGAAAGATATTGGTTGTATGGAAAAAAGTTCGGTACGAGAAATGTAGGTATTCGAAATACCTACAAAATGAGACATGGAACTTCAAAATCGAACTATTAGTTAAGTAGAAAAAAAATAAAAACTACCGGAAAAGATTTGTGTTTTCACTCGCTCTCTGTTCATTGAGATTTAAACGCAAAGCTTCGAAATTTTCGTAAAATGTCTCATAATGACGAACAAATCTAGCCCTGAATGAGCCTGAAATGTTCATTAGTTTTTGTAAAAAGCTATTTGTTCACTAAATACCTGTCTGCAGAAAACTTAATTACTTACATCTTTGAACAGTCGCACAACAATTTACAGGGTTTTTCTTCTTCAAGAGTTACACTATCACGTATATTTAGTATTAGCAAAACGATTTTTTGCAGTTAAACTATTATAAAATGACTTTGAAAAGTGGGTATCTTTTTTTCGTATAAAAAATTGAATAATTCTGTTATTGTTGAAACAAGCGACTAGTGTGAGAAGGAGTTCGTTGTCTCGTTCACTCTCGGCGCGCCGAAGGTGAGCACACGTACATGGCTCGTGCTTGAATGTATGGCTACCGGTTTCGACAGACCGCCGTCTGATTCTGTGTCGCTATCGTCAACGCAGAGTTCTTGGCTGAGTAGTCAGGAGTCTCAAAAATATACATAAAAAGAGCAAGTAATGACGTAGGAATGCACCGCACTCGTTGAAAATAAAAAATTGTAGTATTAGCCCGTTTTGAAAAATGACGCCTCGTAAAAGTCAAACGGATCATTACAGAAAGTCGTGCCCGTGGAAACTTTTATAAGAACGACAAGATCTACAACATATCAAATTTTTAGACAATCCGACAGAAATTCAGTTTTATTTTTTATCATTGTCTCCTTTTAAAAAAGACGATTTATCATCAAACTGCCATGCATATAATATATGATTACTCGATACGAAAACATATTTTACAAATTAATTCAAAATCACTCTTTAAAACTATTATTATAATCATTAAAGGTAATAATAGCATTCGAAACTGGCCTTGTTCCACCAAATATCAATTATGCATCGCCAAGAAAAGATATAGATGCTTTGATGAATGGAACTATTCGTGTCATCCAAGAACCAATGCCACTTCAAAATGGTTACATAGGAATTAATAATTTCGGTTTTGGGGGATCCAACGCTCATATGTTATTAAAGTGGAATCCTAAACAGAAAATTAATAATGGAGCACCGAATGATGATTTACCTAGACTTGTAATATTATCTGGACGCACTGAAGAATCAGTAAAGTTGTTTTTAAACGATGTTAGTAGACATTTAAAAAGTTTGTTTTAAATATTAAAGACACTGTATGTCGTAATTTTTATTTCAAGAAATTTATCGTTATAGATTGCTAAGCGTCCGATAGATGTGGAGTATATCCGTTTATTACATGACATCTATGCAGAAAATATAAATGGTCATCCATGGAGAGGGTACATTATACTAAATACTTTCCAAGAAGATTCAATAAAAAAAATACAAAATTGTGAAAGCGTGAAAAGACCTGTTTGGTTTATATTTTCAGTCTTAGGATCTCAATGGCCAGGAATGGGTATATATTCAATATTTTATATTTTAATAATAATATAGGGTGGAGTTAGCTAAGTCGTACCGACGGTTAAATCGTACCATTTAAATCTCCATTGTATTCTCCGAATAAATCTCTATTGTATTTTTTGAACGAAACATTTTTTGTTAAAGATATAACACTGATATGATGTTGGTAATACATATGGGTTAAGAACTATCATTTTTGTTTTGTTTTTGAGTCGTCTGTTTATGAGTGACATTCAAAATTGATTTTGTTCGGTGTTTGATCTAAGTTTTGATACAATTTACCTAAGATGTTAACAGTACAAAGTGGGTAATTGAATTATAGTGTTCTTCATGATTATAATTGATATTTAAACTCTTTTCGAGTATAGCATCAAATTAGCAAAATATTTCTAAGTCATGTTGCTATTGGCAAATTTGTAAAAATAGAGAGAGTTGGGTAAATCGTACTTGTCGCTGGTCTTTATATTGTACCGGTACAATTTTCGCAAGTGACGCGAGCAATATGTGGATGTTACTATTATGATAAAAAAGGACATACAGTGGACTGGATTCAGTGTATTGAGTGCTCTAAGTGGTTGCACGAAACCTGTAGTGACAATTCTGACATTTACCAAAACTGTTTAAATAAGCACTCAAGAAAGTGATTACTTATCAACTACTGAGTCTTTCTATTGAATCTTTTCTATTGTGATGAAAAAATCCGAATTGATTTTATTTCCAAAATTTATTTTTTCAAAATATTTGAGATTTTAATATTCTGAAATATAGTGCAATGATAGCTTAAATCAATTTAAGTATTGCTTTTTACTTTGTTTTTTTAAATGAGTTTAAAAAACACAGAGGCTAATTTCTGTTTTTTATATAATAGAAAAGGTTTTATTATACCTACTTAAATATATATATTCAGTTTGAAATTAAAAAAAAATTTATTAATAAATGAATTTTAAAATCAATTTTGTTTATTTTCCCAGTAAACTGACGTTATTTGCCGTCATTTTGACGTTAAAGATGTTATTTTAATGTTAAAATGACAATAAGCAATGTCAACTTGTTTGCTATATTAGCAGTACGGTTTAGGAACAGGTGGTACAATTTAACGACCCGGTCTTCAAATCGTACCGAAAGCTACTTTTTTTAAATCTAATTTAAACAATAATTTAATATTTATTTTCTTAAAAGTATCGTTTTGTTTTATTGCCAATGAACCAAAGTTTAATGTAAATACAGAAACATTCTGCTCTCTTTAGTACTTTTGTTACAATTTTGTTTAAACGTTAGAAGATACGATATAGGTGATTTCCCCCTATACACTAGACTGATAAGGAAAAAAAAATTATTTTTTAATCGGCCTCTCAGCTCAAAAGCTTTTATTTTATGACAAAAGAACAACCCTAAATTTTTATCAAAAAATATTAAGTTTTAGATGTCGCCAATAAATTATTTTTAAATCGAAGTTTCGATTTTCCTTAATATATGTTTGATTTGATACAAAACTGACTTAATTCGGATTTTAAATGTGGTACTGTATGTTTTTTTGCTCGCTAAACACGATGCAATAATTCATTTAGATATACGCCTTAACAAATACAGCCCGATTAATGTAAAAAAAATGACTAAATTTCGGGTTCAAAGTCGATTTTGGCAAGGTTTCAAGCGTTCAAATAAATCATTACTCTCCTTAAATTGTGTTCTATATATATAATTGTATTGTATATATATATATATGTAGTATATTTTTTTATTATCTATTCATTTCATTTTCTAATAAAGAGTTTTTTATTGCCAAATTGAGGCATTTAATTTGAGGATGTTAAAACCACAAAGCGAATAATTTGAGGATGTCAAAACCACAAAGCGATATACTTTAGAATTTATAAAAAAATTTTTCTATCCTCAAAAACGTTTTATAATACAGTTAAATGCAACTTTTAACCCTTTGAGGGGCAGCGTATCATATATGATACACCAAACTTTTTTCAGTTTTTTATCCATACCGCGACCGTTTTCAGCTCAATCGCTCTCGAATAAACTTCTACACTATCATTATTACTTAGGCTTCGTAATGCTTTGATTGAAAATTTGAAAATTTATTTATTTAATTATTTATAAACAATCAAAGACGGAAAATTTTTAATTTTTTCGAATAAATTCGGCCATGGACAGAGTTTTTAAGGTAATCTTATGAAAATTTGTATAAAAGGGTTTTCGGGGTCGCTGATTACGGATCCAGTATCAAATTTTTGAAATTCCTAAAAGTGGACCCTATATGGCGGCTTCATGAGATTTTTCGGGTCGACAATCATACACCTGAGTTCCGAGTTCAGACATTCATAATTTTCTAAACGTAATTGCCTACTATCGTATCAAAATTATGTTTTACACGTGATTCGTGTTTGAAAAACTGATAGAGGATAATCTATTGGACATACATCTATAAGCTGCTATTCTGGATTCACCATCGTGAGGTCCGAAATCTTGATTTCAGAATCATAATCAGTGACTCTGGTAACCTTTGTCTATTATTATATTATATTAAATATTATTATATACCTCTTCCCAAGTGGATTCCTCAACAAACCGCGATTCTAACCTAAAATAGTCGCCATATTGGATCCGCCATTTTGAATTTTCAAATTCTGATATCGGATTCGTGATCAGCGACGCCAAAAACTTATAGAAACACATTGATACCCATTGCAAGTCTAGCACAAAAATGTGCCCCTCAAAGGGTTAAAGGCCCTATAAGAGATTGCGGGAAAATTCCAACTGGACCTTACTCTAGGTAAACAGACCTATAATTTGAGTGGAGTAACGACTCACATTCAAATGCTTGAAACCATGCTAAAATCGAAATCGCTTGAATTCGAAATTTGGTCATTTTTTCACAATATTCGTGCTGTATTTCTTAAAGTGTATATCATAGGGTTAAATGAATTATTGCATCGTGTTAAGCGACTAAAAAAACATACAGTACCGCATTTAAAATCTGGATTAAGCTATTTTTACATCAAATCAAACATGTATTAAGGAAAATCGAAACTTTGATTTAAAAATGGTTCACTGGCGACCTCTAAATCTTAATATTTTTTGATAAAAATTTAGGGATGATCCTTTAGTATAAAATAGAAGCTTTTGAGCTGAGAAACCGATTTAAAAAAAAATTCTTTTTTCTTGTCAGTTTAATGTACACGTATCTACTAACTTAAATAACAAAATTATATAACTTATATAAATCTTATTAGGTCAAAACTTATTAAAGCTTCACGTCTTCGAAAAAGCGATAAGAAAATGTGATACTGTTTTGAAACCGTATGGTGTAAGTGTCATAGACATTTTGACAAAAAAGGGGGAAAAAAAATGCAAAAATGCATTAAACGCTTTTCTTGGAATCGTCGCTATTCAGGTAAAGAATCTATTAGTTTTCATAATTACATATAAGTATCAATAATATTCTTATGTATAAGTCAGGGATGGCACGCTAAACAAAACTCGCGGCTTAACGTGTAAAAAACAGATTAGTTTTGTTTCAGGGAACAAAATTCATGCAGAGCTATATTCATATTTTGAATATAGGAACAAAACCAAAAGCAAATGCACATTTTGGTTCACGATCGATGCAAAACGAAAGTAAATGATTAAAGTTTTGTGTCGAGAATCGAAAATATAAATATAGTATATTTATATTTTCGATTCTCGGCACAAAACTAGAGACGAAAACAAAATTTTTTTCGAGTTTTCGGTATATTTTGTTTTCGTCTCTAGTTTGTCACAAGGCACGCATCATGTAACTCGTCTATCTGTACGTAGTGCGAGAAGTTGCGCGTAATTGATCTTCACGTATTATGTAAGCATTATAAGTTGTGGATTTTTCTCGATTTTTCTCGTCGTCGGTCGTCGATCGGCGTCGATCGGCGTCGATCGGCGTCGTCGTCATCGGTCGGCGTC